AATCTATGCTCAACTTGAACATTTCTCTCAGACACTAAACATTCAGTGCACTCCAATCGATTAATTTGTTCTTTGAAATACTTTTCTTCATTTAAAGCTAACTGTGTGGTTTCTTTTTCAAATTGCAGTCTTAAAGGTCTGCAGTAGCGTGTGGAAGACGGCCGGGGATTTTTCCAAATGATTTTGGGATCATCCGATTGTGTTACTAGCTGCAACGGTACATACGACGTAACAAACAGACTTGAATCATTGAAGTTATTATTTGAAACTTTTTGCTTATATTCCGAATGTCCCGTACTGCCATCAAATCCCCACTTTCCTATTAAAATTAAATTTTTTACTAAATCGTTGTCAATGTTGTTAATGACCTCGCATTGCAGCTTCAAAATTTGCGATGCAGTATGATCCAGTAAGCTTTGAAGATCCACTTCTGCTCCAGACTCACTTACAGTGATTTTTTCAGGGTAACTAAACGCTTTGGCTTTTAAGACTTTTTCATAGCTTGGGAAAATATCACAGAGAGATTTAGAATTTACGAAATTCCTAATAGTCAGATATTGGTGTTTTGACAAATTGGTTTCAATGATAAGCGATACAACTTCCATGATATTTACTTTCGAGCTCGCTTCAGGTAGTACTGTGGCCGATCATAAAGCGGAAGCTACAATTTCATTAGATTTAGAAATTTCCGCAATCCTTCGTCGTTTTGTCCTATTTGAACTCTCAAAAAACATTTTTCTGGGACGTCCACGATTTGAGTTTGTTGCCAATTGATTGACCTTACTCAACGGAATCGTTTTTTTCCCTTCCAACCATGTGCTTTGGCACTTTAATAATTGCCTTTTGTTACGCTTGTATTTTAGCCAATACGCAGCGATTTTCTTACAATCATACGTTACAACATTTTTTAGATCACATAAATTGGTTGTGAAGCCTTTGTTCTCAATGTGTTTTTGCACTGCATCAAGCACAATTTTAGTTTTGCCGGCACCAGTTCCCTTTTGAGCGCACCAAATATCAAAAATAAACATTCGCGAATATTCGCATTGATAAGAAGAACCTGACAAAAGAAAGCCAAATTACAAATAAAAAAATAAAACACAACCAAAAAAGGCGAACACGAAATAAAACAAACACAAAGAACAGCTGAGCGTCAGAGACGTTGTAGAAACATAACCTTAATGGCACAGACTGCTACCTTTTTTTTCTTACCACTTAATGGTCTGCAAATATTTGCAAACTATGGATNATACATACATATTTATATATACATATGTGTGTACATATAAAAAGAAATGGTCAAAACACTTTGGCCAGACAGGATCTGGCCGTGGCTCCGGCTCTGGTTGGCTCTACTGCTGCAGGGGATGGGCGGCTGGCATGGCTTTTAATGCTCATAAAAATTGTATTATAATTTTAAATAATTTAGACGAGCATATTGCCCAGAGTGGATAGAAGAAGGACGTGCACTATGGAGGAAGAGAGAGTGGTAGTGAGAGGGGGGGTGGATAGAGGGGTTAGCGAGGTGAGCTGGTCTAATGGCGACCAGTGGCTAACCATCATACAGTGCACGAGCTGCGACCCAGACGCGAACACTAACACACACACACACACAGGCACACCCTCGCACTCACATGGCAGAGTGCAAACGCCGTAAATCATGGCGCAGGTAAACATAAGCAAAACGAACAAAATCGCAACAGCAAAGGAGTAGCACAAAAAAAAACAACAAAAGAGTCAGAGAGAGAGAGAGAGAAAAAATACAACTAAAAACGTGAGAAGCAACAACGAAAATGAAATAAAGGCAAGGGCCAAAGCTGTGTAAAGTTGATTGCCGGCAGGCGGACGAGCGACCAAGTGAGCGCTACAAGTTACAAGAGCAAGAGTGAGAGAGAGAGCGCGATAGGTCAATGCGTTTGCAGCGCGTTTCTGGCGCGTTTTTGGTGCGGCTCCTGCAGGCAAAAGGCGCTAACTTGATGGAATCGTTAGCATTACCGTTAGACGAGACAGTTAACACCAGCAGCAGCAGCAGCAGCAGCAGCAACATATGGTGTGCGAAGCAACTATGAAAAATGAAGCCAGAAGACAAGCAAAGCAAGTTTTGCAATGCTTCGACATGGATGCATTTGGCTGTGACGTCATAGTTGAGACAAGCACCTTGAGTGCACCGCAACTTAAATAAGCATTTTATTACATCAATATTGTAGTATTCTGAGTGAGTGTGAAACTATTTGCTTTAGCTATAATTAACCTTTAGCTGCGACGTATGCGTAACCTGCTATATAACTTCATATCATATTTAATAAATGGCTAAATGCCGCAGTTGATTAGACAACATTTATGACATTCTGTGAACCTCAAATATTTGTATACATATACATAATAAAAGCAGTGTCAATAGACGGTTTCCATTGCAATCCCATTGTTTGCGCCTATTGTGACGTCACACGCCTTGTGGCGTGCTCAATCTGTACTCTGACTCTGTACTCGTTTTTGCTTAGCTGTTTGCTATTGTCTTCTCTTTTACTCGCCTGCGATATGCTTAGGGCAGTGCATGAGCTACGCGATGCGATCAAAGCAAAGGATGCAAACAAGCCGTTATCTTCGCTCAGTGTGTTTTGTTCTTGCTGTCAATTTGAATACAACGCTGTGAGTGAGTGTAGGGTGATTTAGTAGGGCGTGTACGACTCTTTCAATACCCCTTTGCAAAGTTTGCACAGATTTTCAGCTTAATCATTGAACTGCTCATTAATATTTGGTTAGGGAGAACTTATGCGTCTTGCTATTAAAGCATAAGTTATTTATGCTTTTCTTTTGCCTTTATGCTGCCCTCTGCCCTTTGTCCTCTGCCCACTGCCTTATGTTACGTTCAGTTGCTCACAAGCATTGTACCCTGCTTATCCACGGCTTTAAAGTATAAAAATAAAAAACCACAAATGCCAAGGTCAAACCACAGAGAGAGTGAGTGGGTGTGTGTGTGTAAGTGTATGTGAGTGGGCGCAGTAGCGCCACCTGCTGGCCACACAAGTGTTGATGAGAACTTGTGTGCATGTCTCTATCTGTGTGCGAGTGCTCTAGTGTATACGTGTGTGTGTGTGGGTGTGTGTGGATGCACACAAAATTGCGCTGCCTATGTGCGAGCGTTGTTGTTACAACAAGTAGAAGAAGTGACACAACAACAACAGCAACTACACAGAACAACAACAAGTGCACGCGCAAGAATATGTTTCAATTTCACAGCTGCAGCGCGGCGAGGGCCAGCATTTACCGTTACAGTCACATTTACGGGTTACAGTTGCGCCGCGCCTGCAGTTGATTGCTTGCCTAACACACACACACACACACACGCACGCACACAGTGATACGCACGGACACTCGCACTGGATGTGCGAAGCTAAAACTTGTGCAGTGATTTTTTAGCTGGATTTATTTTTGCTTGATTTTCTTTTTTGTTTTGTTTTTCTCTCTTTTTTTTTTTGTTTTTTTTTTCTATCTTGTTGGTTTTGTCGTGCTGTCACCAGTGCACAGTGGTTGGGCTTGTATGGAGAGAGCGGTCAAAAATAGTTCCAGTTGAGATATCGAGCTGAATTTTTTTTTATTTTATAATAAGACCTTAGGAAGTGAATTTAAAACAAAAGGGGCGTGGTCCGTTCATTATACGCCTTACAAAAAAAATTTTATCAAATCACAATATAATAAAAAACCAAAAACCAACAAAATTAAAGACAAAAATAAGAAAAATATTGGTCTATTTCTTTATTAAACTAATCTTCTAATAATTGAATTGAAGAATTCATTAGTTTTGACTTTGCTTTGCACGGCAAATCTCTCTGCTCTGTAATAAATGGATCAGAGCTCAAGAGCAATCTGTTTATCAAATCCGTGTTTGTNAATCACAAATAATTGACGAATACAATGACATATACCACATTGGAGACGTGTGGGGGGAACACAACTAAAACCTTAGGTAAACATGAAAAACAGAGCACAAAAAACATTCAATAATCAATGTTACTAAAACACACAATTCACAATCACAATGTGTAAAATGACATAAACCTTAATTTTAACAAAAAATACATACCATTAGCTTTAAATTCCATTATTCTTACAAACAATTGGTTAAGAAACAAAAATATGAATTTTTGTTGCGTGCGCTTCTGTTTTGTCTGCTTTCGTTCAGCTTGTCAAATGTGAACACGTGTGCTGTGTTGCAGAGCTATTTTTAGAACTTACCGTTAGATTTTCGGCAAAAGCGAGATGCACTTGAAAAGTTTAGACATTTCTGTGTTGCCTTGATAACTTATTATGTTAATCTTTCAACTTTTTTTTTTTTATTTTTGACCTATGGGCGCAACCACTGTGCAGTGTTTGCCGCTGCTTTTCACAATTTTCACGCTTTTTCTCTCTCATTTCTATTTGGTTAAACTTGACCCACAAAGCTGTCGCCTTAAAATATGCAATGCAGCAGCTGCTGTGCTGCTGCGCCTCTGCTGCTGCTGCTGCAGCAGTTGTTAATGAATAATCCATGTTATGTGGCTTAAATTCGCTCAACGTTTTGCTGCCAGCTGCCCAATTAAATATGTAGCGCAGCAAATTGCATTTGCTGGCAGTTAATTAATTAAGAGAATGACCAACAAAAAATTCATGTGATAAAATAAGAACTGACTGCATAATAAAGGCCAGWGAGTGAGTGTAAAGAGCATAAGAAAGAGCGCATAAAATAAACGCAACAAAATGATCTGCGTGGCACTGCTTGCGGCAACGACTTGCAAGCAGTGTTCAGTGTATATCAGCTATGCAGTAGAACAGTATAACAACTGAGCATTGTTTGCTTGTGGTGCGTGTATTGGCTAAACGGTATTTATTTATCCGCATATATAACAGCAAGCAGTACAAACGCGTATTTAGCTAAGACAACAACTAAATTATATGAATACTTTTAAATATTTTATTTATAAATATATTAAAATTTGACTTTCTTTTTTTTTTACTTCCTTGCAGCACGTCTATGGCTAAAACAACTCGCCACGTGTAGAATGAAGATGAATCGTGGCAGACGCCAGCAGCTGGCGTTGCTGCTGCTGCTGTTTGTGCTGCCCGGCGGCATTTTGGCCAAATCCAAGAAGAACAAATCCAATCAGAACTCACACTATAGCGATGCCAGCAACTCGGCCAACAGCGCTGCCAGCGACGACAACAACGGCAGCGGACTCAAGCTCAAGGGCCACGGCGATGTCGGCCAACATTTCGCCATGGAGCCGCAGGATCAAACGGCAGTCGTCGGCTCTCGTGTCACGCTGCCGTGCCGCGTGATGCAAAAGGTCGGCGCACTGCAGTGGACCAAGGATGACTTCGGGCTGGGCCAGCATCGCAATCTGAGCGGCTTCGAGCGCTACTCGATGGTGGGCAGCGACGAGGAGGGCGACTTCTCGCTGGACATCTATCCGCTGATGCTGGACGACGATGCCAAGTACCAGTGCCAGGTGGGACCCGGACCGCATGGCGAGCAGGGCATACGTTCGCGCTTCGCCAATCTGACGGTGCTCGTGCCGCCGGAGGCACCGAAAATCCTGCAGGGCGACTATCTGGTCACCACGGAGGATCGCGAAATCGAGCTCGAGTGCGTCTCGGTGGGCGGCAAGCCGGCGGCCGAAATAACGTGGATCGATGGCCTGGGCAACGTCCTCACGGCCGAGAGCTTCTTCGAGCCGCTGGCCGATTCCCGACGTGTCACTACCAAGTCGGTGCTCAAGCTGGCGCCCAAGAAGAAGTACCACAACACGACGATCACGTGCCAGGCGCAGAACACCGCCGATCGCACCTATCGCTCGGCCAAGGTCCTGCTCGAGGTGAAGTATGCGCCCAAGGTGTCCGTTTCGGTGGTGGGCGGCGCCTTGGCTGGCGGACGCATACCCGAAGGAGCTGAGGTCATACTCAGCTGTCAGGCGGATGCCAATCCGCCGGAGGTCAGCTATCGTTGGTTCATCAATGATGAGCTCGTGCCTGGGGACTTTACAACGAAAATGGTAAGTGAGAGTGGGAGTGGGTGGCAGAGAGGGAGAAGGGAAGTGAGAAGATGATAGAGAGAGGGGGAATTAGTGTTAGAAATAAGCGAATAAGATATAGAAAACGAGCAGTAGCAAAGGAGGAGTAGGAGGAGGTGGAAATGGGGAAGTGGGAGAATGAAAGATTAGGAGAATGGGAGAGTATGAGAATGGGATAATCGTTTAATGGGAGATTTGATGAATAAGAAAAAGTGGCTAAAGGAGAGTAGGAAAATGGATTAATGGAAGAATAATAGAATGCAATAATGGATAAATAGAAAAAATGGAAATTGGGAGAGTGGAAGAATGTATAAATGGATGAATATGGGAATAGGAGAGTAGGAAAATGGATGAATAGTTGAATCGGCTAATGAGAAATTTGATAAATAAGAAAATGGGAGAAAAGAAGAGTAGGAGAATGGATGAATTGGAGAATGAATAAATAGGAAAATGGGAGAATGGATGCATAGTAGAATGAAAGAATCGGTTAATGAAAGAATAGATAAATAGGAAAAAGGAAAAAAAGGAAGAGGGGGATAATGAATAAAATATGAAATGAGATGGGTAAGAGAATGACAGAATCGGCTGGGTGGGTAAATGGGTAAATAGGAAAAAAGACGACGCGAAGGACAGAAGGGCTGAAGCAGGAGAAACAGATAGACAGCCCAGAAAGAGAATGAGGGAGAAAAAATAGATTTTTCACTACATATCAAGTATACATATATTAGCCAACACTAATTGCTTGTTCTTTTGATCCAGATCATACACAATGTGACACGTAAATATCACGATGCCATTGTCAAGTGCGAAGTGGTCAACGCCGTAGGCAAGAGCGAGGAGAGCGAAACACTGGACATCAGCTGTAAGTAGACTTTGCAGAGAGTAAGAGAGAGAGAGAGAGAGAGAGAGAGAGAGAGAGGGAGATGGAGATGGGGCATGATCTCATTGTAATATCCGCTTCCTCCACAGTTGGACCCGTCTTTCGCCAGCGTCCGGTCAGCAAGGAGGCGGATCTGGGCGCCACTGTGACCATGCGCTGCGAGGTGGTGGGCAATCCGACGCCCGAAATCGAATGGATCAATGAGAACTCGGATCAGGTGAGTCCCAGTTAGCCAGTGAAGCCAAAGATTTGCTCACTCACTCCACTTGATTCTCTAGATTGTGGGACGATCGCCGGAGCTGAAGCTCAAGGTGAGCAGCGAGACAGCCGGACGCTATTTCTGCAAGGCCGTCGTCAATGGCTTTCCGGAAATCGGCGCCGAGGCGACGGTCTATGTGAAGCGGGCGCCGATCATCACCTCGCACAAGGTGCAATACGGCGCCATCGGCAGCCGGACGAAAATCGACTGCCTGGCCTTCAGCATACCGAAGGCGGAGCACATCCTGTGGTCCTTCGAGGGCAAGGTGATCAACATGAGCAGCGCCGATCCCGACATCTACATATTCGAGGAGCATCACCTGCAGGAGGGCGTCCGCGCAGCGCTCATCATCAAGGAGAGCCGCTTCTCGCACTACGGCAAATACAACTGCACGGTGATCAATTCGTACGGCGGAGACTCGCTGGTGATCAATCTGGTGCCCGAGCAGGACAGCCTATCCATATCGCTGGTGCTCATAGGGCCGATGGCCCTGATCCTGGTGATTGTGTCCATCATCGTCATGATGATTGTCTGTCGCAAGCGGCGCAGTCGAAAGAAACCGATGCCGGCCGATGTCATTCCGGAGGCATCGCGTGGCGGCGACAAGCTGACCGAGCTGAAGAGCGAGCTGCGCGCCAAGGCCTACGACGTGGAGTACTCGGAGGCGGGCAACGAGCCGCTGGCCATCAATCTGACCCAGACGCCAATGCCCGATGTCCAGATGAAGGGCGCCACCTTGGGCGTGCCGCTGGCCGGGCCCGTTAAGTTCGACGAGCGCTTCTCGGGCGACTACGGGCATCGCTACAGTCGCCAGTGCCACGCGAAGAACTTCAAGGGCCAGAACCAGAGCCAGAGCCAGAACCAGGAGCAGGCCTACAAGGAGACCGCGAGCAACGGCTATGCGCCCAACTTTGAGTACGCCCTCGACTACAGTCCGCCCGCTGAGAGCGGCAAGTCGAAGGGCGCGGCGAGTGGCATCAACTCGGCCACTCTGCCGCACTATGCGGCCAATGCGGCGGCCACTACGGCCACATCCGCCGGAGGCGTCACCGCGCCCATCGCCAGTGGCGCCAGCTTGCCGCGCAATCAGCGCCACGAGCTGCACCACCATCAGCACCACCAGCAACAGCAGCAGCCACAGACCTCCCAGGCTAACGGATTTCTGGGTAAGTCAAACGGAACTAGTTCAAAGGGAATAGATGGATTCGTTTAGTTTGCTTCAATCAAGTTCTAGTTTTCTTTAAGCTACTGCAGAGGTAGGGTGAGGGTGACCCACTTGTTACAATGCTATGAACTAGTTCATATGAACTAGTTCAAAAGAGCTGTGCAAGGCGTAAGCTACGCGGAAAACTTAAAAGAGTTTCTTTTGAAAAAGGAAAAATAAACAGTTTAACGAAATGTACACGCCTAATAGTAGAATAAGAACTAGTTCAAGGAATTAGTTCAATGAGTGAATACTTAAGTAAATGTAAATAAGTATTTGAAGCTTCAATATTATCAAAGCCTAATAGCTATCAAATTTTCTACAAGCCAACAAGCATAAATTGTTCCACAAAATGAACTAGTTCAAATGTTTCATAAGAACTTGTTCAAAATAGTGGCTCACTGAATGAATGTTGTTAAGACAAAATTAACTTACTTATATAATAATATAAATTACTTATATGAACTGTGAACTAGTGAACTAGTTCAGTAGTACGAATAGTAGTAGTATTTCAATAAATGAATCACAATAAATGTTCAAAGTAAACATAACTAAATTCAATATAGACTGTGCTTTTGTTCAATGAACTAGTTCATATGAACTGTCATTTGCTTGAGTTTTACCCCCTTTCATTGAGAAGAGAAGAAGCTGAATTAATCTATAGCAATAAGTGAACTAATATACTTAATATATGACTAACCTTTCTCTCTCTCTCTCTCCCTCTCTCCGTTCTTCGCTCTCTCCCTACATAGGCCAACCGCTGCTGCAGAATGGCATCGACAGTCGCTTCAGCGCCATCTACGGCAATCCCTATTTGCGAACAAACTCATCGATATTGCCGCCGCTGCCACCGCCGAGCACCGCCAATCCGGCGGCCACGCCCGCCCCACCGCCCTACCATGCCGCCCGGCATGCCAACAGCAACGGCGGCCTGAAGCACTTTGGCAGCGGCATCGGCTACGGCACAGCCGGCGGCATCGGCGGCACCGCCGGCACGGCTGGCGGCGGACCGGGCAGCGTGAGCGGCAGCAGCTCCAACTTGACGGCCAGCAGCAATACGCTGGCGGCCACGCCTCTCACACAGCCCTCGCTATGCGGGACGCTGGGCGTGGGCGTGGGTGTGGCCGCCGGCGTAATGCAGAGCGCACAAAGTCCCTCCGGGCAGTTCATACTGCCCACCAATGGCAAGGGCGTCACACAGAAGGGGCCGCTGGCCACGCATGTCTAAGCGGCTGATGGCGGTACGGAATCGGAGGTGGAACCGGAACTGAAATCGGAGCTGGAGTCAGAGCTGTACACGGAGCTAGAGCCGGATCTGTAATTGGTGTCGCAACTCAAACTGGCATCGGAACTAAAACTGAAAACGGAACTGGAACTGAAACTGGAACAGCAAAAAAATAAAATAGATCAAGAGCCGAAACTTCAAATGATATCGTAATCTATGCGAGAACCGGAACCTGATCGAAATCCGCAAACACAAGCCGGCATGGAATTCGGAGCTGGAACTGACACCGGAACTAAAATTTGAATGGAACAAAGAAGCGCAAACTAAATTGATGTCGTAACCTAAACTGGAACCAGAACTGCAATCGGAACTGGAACTGGAACCGAAGTCAAAAACCGCAGCCGAAGCTTACAAATAGAATGTCACGCATATTTATTCAATTCGTATTCGTACTCGTATTGTCTAGACTGTAGAACCTAGCAACCTAAGATATTTTTTTTTTCGAAAAGATTTCGATTATACATATACATACATGCATATAT